ATTTGGTGAGAAGGACGAGAAGGGTGTCACTGTTACCTGTCTGGGAGAAGGAAGCTGAGACATATCCCACATGTCCTATTGTTTCTCCATCTCAGGAGCTGGCGCCTTACCCTCTCTTGGGGCCCCTGTCCCAGCCAGGCCCCAGCTGGGCTCTGGCGCCAGCTCATCTGCTCTTCAAGGGTCACTAGCTCCCAGGCCCTCAGGTGGGCAGAGATATGTGGACCCCCAGGGATCTCTAATAGCATCATCAGGCCCTGAGCTTAGCTGAGCAGACCAGAAGGAGGGGACCAGAGGAAGGTTGGAAGGCTGGAGGGCTAAAGACTCCAGGCTGCACCTCATATTCTCTGTGGCAGGAAGAGAAACAGCCATGAGGTACATGGGTTCAAATCCTAGCTCCACTGCCTCCTCACTGCGAGGCAAGCCTTTTGCCCTCTCTGGTCTCATCTGTTAAGTAGGCTAATTAATACTGATTACTGCCTGGAAAGGCAATAATGATTATATCAAATCGCTGTTCAACAAGTATCAGCCTGCCACACTGGCAGGTACCTGTACAGTTCCTTTTCATCAAAGTGTTTTCCTAATGTGGCTCACTTCACCCTCACAACAACTCTAAAGATGCACCTTTGTCTGCCCTTTGTAGAAATGAGGTGAAGAGATTAAAGAAGGCAGAGGGGCTAGCCTGGGGATCCTGAAAAACTGAGGCTGCATCAGAACTGGAATCCAGAACCCAGCCTGAGCCTGCTCAGACCCTTCTCCCTCTAGGCCCTGCCTCTGACCCAGGGCAGGCTCACTTTCCTCCACCCCCTCTAACCCAGGACAGGCCTGCTTCCCCCCACCCCTCTGGCAGGCAGTTATTATTTATCATTGTAGGCTTGACTGTGAGGAGGAGCTGAGATGAGAAACACCAGGTAGGGACTGTGTGACCAATTCTGGGCCAGGCAGAGTGAGGGAAACAGCAGACCAAAAGGCTGAGGTGTGAGCTGACCCTCCGGGACACTTCGGCCTGACTTGTGGAGACAAGGCTGACTCGTGGGAATAGTAAGGGCTGTGTGTCTCAGTCCCCACATGGCCTGTTGCCTGCTGTAGCACCTCCCACCACCCATTCTCTTGTCTAGCCTAAGCAGCCCTGGTCCAGCTCCATTTAATGCTGAGTAATTATGCTGACTTGTGGCTATTTGGTAGGGTTGTGGGTTCAGCTCCCCTTTTTAGCTGTGTGCTCCAAGACTGGGTATTTAACCTCTCTCAATCTTTTTCTTCTCTTCAATATGCCTTCCTTAGCCCCTACTCAGGATCATCCTAGAACTCAGAGGTGTGTATGTGTTTGTACACATGTGCACAAACACATGCACCCTGGCCCCCAGTACCATTGTGAGTTTCCAGAATACATAAGCCATCCATCCATACCAACACTTTGGTATCACCATTGCCCAGCCCAGAGTAGGTGCTCAGTAGTACCCAATTTGTTATTAATCAACTAGGGATACACTGGGGCATTTCTCCTGAAGAACAGAGTAATAGGGGTGAGTGCTAAGCTTTAGGGAACACCATGCTAAGACTTTTTTTTCTCATGACCATATAAACAGAAGGTTGTTACTGCCTGTGCTGTCAGAGGAGGAAACTGAGGTGTAGAGAGGTTAGTTATAGAAGATATGAACCCAGGAGGTATGATTTCAGAGCCACCACCCAAAAAGAGCCAGCCCTGGGATATTGCAGGAGCTTTCATGGTGGGGTAAGTATGTATGGACTTGAAAGATGGGAGCATCTGTTTGTTGGAAGTTGATTCAAATGAATATGTGCTGGGTGGATTTTCTGACTATAGAAATCCTCCATCTGGTTACTAGTGGTGTGTCTGGGTGTAGGGTAGAGTGAGGGCTTTGCACTTCTTATTTTATTTGCTTTGTTACCTTTTGGCTTCCTATTTTTACATTAGTATGTGTATAGGTTACTGAGTAACATAACATTGCAAAAAGATCTTCAAATGGTATATGTTTTTCATAAAGGAAACCCTAGGAAAGAGAATTTAGAAATTTACACAATGGATCCATCAGTCCTGGATGAGTGGGATGAAGGGAAGGGACAGGAAACAGTCATCCCATGTGGGAGGACCAGAAGGACAAAGGGGTATTCATGGAAAGTAAGCAGCCTGCCTTGAGTGTGTGACTGGGAGTCCTGGATAAGAGACTATAGAAACCAACTCATCAGGGCTGGGGTATGGTACAGTGGTGCAGTGCTTATTATCCTACTTCGTTTTTCCATTTCTGTAATAAAACACTGACCAAAAGCAACTTGGGAGGAAAGGGTTTATTTGGCTTGTACTTCCTGATTGCTCTCCATCATTGAGGGAAGTCAAGACAGGAAGGGCAGGAACCTGGAGGCAGGGACTGAAGCAGAAACCATGGAGGAACTTTGCTTTACTGGCTTGCTACCTCTGGCTTGCTTAGTTACTTTTCTTATACAACCCAGGACCACCTGCCTAGGGATGGCACTGCCCACAGTGGGCTGGACCCTCCTACATCAATTAGTAATTAAGAAAATGTCTCACAGACATGGCCATAGGACAATCACATGAAAGAAGTTCTTCAACTGAGGTTCCCTTTTCCCAGATGTCTCTAGTTTGTGTCATTTTGACATAGTGCTTGCCTAGCTAGAGGCCCTGGGTTCCAACCACACCAGTGCAGAAAAAAAAAAAAAGAGAAAAGGAAAAAAAAAATCAGGTTGTCCAACCACCCTCCCTCTTACACAGAAACAAGAGGGCCAGTGACTTCCCCAAGAACATACAGCAAGTTAGTGGCGGGTTTGGGCTGGAGCCCAGATCCCAGACTCCCTGGATGATTTCCATTGGCCCTACCGCACTGCATCAGCCATGAGAGATAAAGCCACTGCAGAGCAGGGCCTTTTGAAGAGCTGCACACACTGGATCGTTCCTTCCCTTACGCATTAAATATTTGCCCTTTGCCAGGCTCACCAAGGGATCATGCAGAGGTCCTGATGTGGGCCTAACCCTCAGGTAGGTCACAATGTAGAAGAGAGACAAAGCCTTACCAAACAGACTAAGTACCATGGTCATGCAAGTCCAGGGCCAGTCGGGGAAAGTTTGGTAAGCCTCACACAGAGGAGGAAGGTATAATGGGAGCAAAGGGCTGTGGAACCAGTGGTGAGCGGTCAGGGTGATGCTTGTCTAACAGAGTGTGGAGACCAAAGTCTCCCAGGAAGTTTTAGGCTGGCCATGGCGAAACTTCACCAACAAGCAGTGGGTGCCCATACAGGGTCAGGCAGGGAATGACAGCAACAGATGGATATTCTGAGATCAGTCTGGCTTCTGAGCAGAGTGAATGAGGAGCCAGGGAGACTGGCCATCCTGTGGGTGGGTGAGAAGATGGCATGGGGACAGGATGGGAGCTGACTGGAGGTGGAGTGGCCCGGTCTGAGGGTGAAGAAGAGGCAAAAATGGCCAACCAGGATGGTGATGGTACTCCTTGGGAGATGAGAGGCTGGGTGGACAGTGATCTAATCACGTGGACGCTTGCCAAATTGCAGATTGGTGATCTTTCCAGACCCATTTGATGAGTTGAGTGAGCAGTTAGTTTGGGATCCAGAACTTTGAGGGTGGAGATGGTGAGTAGGACTGTGCTAGGGCCACAGTTCTGGAAGTGCCACCATTTGGAGAAATCTGTTGTCACCTCAGAGATAACCTCACCTCCCAGGAGATAGCAGAGGGCAAGGTGGCCTGGCAGCCATGCTGAGGGCCACCAGCCATGCTGTGGTGAGGGTAGGGGTGGAATGGCAGTTGCTGCCTCTGGCCCAGCTCCTGATGAACCTCTGGTGTGAGGCAGATGGAGCTGACCGGCCTCACACAGCACAGATGTAGCCAGGGCAGGAGCTCTACTCAGCTTCCTAGTGTCAGAGCCTTTGTATGGGTCTCTGGATTTCTGAGAAATGGTCTGTCCTAGTTTGTCTCTCCATTGCTGTAACAAAACACTCTGACCACTACCAACTTTGGGAGGAAAGGGTTTATTTTATGTTGCATCTCCCGGGTCACAGTTCATCAGGGAGCCCAAGGTAGGAACTCAGGGCAGGAACCTGGAAGCAGGAGCTGGAGCACAGGCCATGGAGGAACTGTTTACTGGCTTGTTCCCCTGGCCCCTGCTCAACCTGTTTTCTTATGCAACACAGGCCCACCTGCCCATGGG